TTAATTTTTATTAATTTTTATTAATTTTTATTAATTTTTATTAATTTTTATTAATTTTTATTAATTTTTATTAATTTTTATTAATTTTTATTAATTTTTATTAATTTTTATTAATTTTTATTAATTTTTATTAATTTTTATTAATTTTTATTAATTTTTATTAATTTTTATTAATTTTTATTAATTTTTATTAATTTTTATTAATTTTTATTAATTTTTATTAATTTTTATTAATTTTTATTAATTTTTATTAATTTTTATTAATTTTTATTAATTTTTATTAATTTTATTAATTTTTATTAATTTTTATTAATTTTTATTAATTTTTATTAATTTTTATTAATTTTTATTAATTTTTATTAATTTTTATTAAGTTTTATTAATTTTTATTAATTTTTATTAATTTTTATTAATTTTTATTAATTTTTATTAATTTTTATTAATTTTTATTAATTTTTATTAATTTTTATTAATTTTTATTAATTTTTTATTAATTTTTATTAATTTTTATTAATTTTTATTAATTTTTATTAATTTTTATTAATTTTTATTAATTTTTATTAATTTTTATTAATTTTTATTAATTTTTATTAATTTTTATTAATTTTTATTAATTTTTATTAATTTTTATTAATTTTTATTAATTTTTATTAATTTTTATTAATTTTTATTAATTTTTATTAATTTTTATTAATTTTTATTAATTTTTATTAATTTTTATTAATTTTTATTAATTTTTATTAATTTTTATTAATTTTTATTAATTTTTATTAATTTTTATTAATTTTTATTAATTTTTATTAATTTTTATTAATTTTTATTAATTTTTATTAATTTTTATTAATTTTTATTAATTTTTATCAATTTTTATTAATTTAATTTTTATTAATTTTTATTATTAATTTTTATTAATTTTTTATTATAATTTTTATTAATTTTTTATTAATTTTTATTAATTTTATTAATTTTATTAATTTTTATTAATTTTTATTAATTTTTATTAATTTTTATTAATTTTTATTAATTTTTATTAATTTTTATTAATTTTTATTAATTTTATTAATTTTTTATTAATTTTTATTAATTTTTATTAATTTTTATTAATTTTTATTAATTTTTATTAATTTTAATTTTTATTAATTTTTATTAATTTTTATTAATTTTTTATTAATTTTTATTAATTTTTATTAATTTTTATTAATTTAATTTTTATTAATTTTATTAATTTTTATTAATTTTTATTAATTTTTATTAATTTTTATTAATTTTTATTAATTTTTATAATTATTTTATTAATTTTTATTAATTTTATTAATTTTTATTAATTTTTATTAATTTTTATTAACTTTTATTAATTTTTATTAATTTTTATTAACTTTTTATTAATTTTTATTAATTTTTATTAATTTTTTAT